GAAGGAATCGCGTGGGGAAACTGAGATTTGACAGGGAAAGGGGCGGGGGCGGGCCGCCTGCTATTTAGACTTGCACGGGCCGGTCCTGCAAGGCTGTAGGACCTGGCAGCGAGAAGAGAGAGGAGCAGAGGGCAGGGAGGAGAGGCGGTGACAGAGGCGGCCGCCGATGGAGGTCTCCGAGCGGGGGAGGCGTGGGCTGGGGGCCGGAGGAGGGCGGGGAGCTGCGTGCCGCGTGTGTGCGGATTTATACGAGAGCGTGATGGGCAGCAGGCCGGGGAGCGTAGAGGTGGGGCGTGGGGTGAGGGGCGCGGGCCGAGCGATGGGAATAACCCGGGCGCGCTCCCCTGACCGGCGCTTGACAGCGTGCGCCCCTGTGCGCTCCGGTGATTTCCTGCTTGCGTGAAGAAAGCGGGGATCTGGGAGGTGGGTGGCCGCGGAGGGTGGGGAGCAGGGGGCGCGGGGCGCGGGGCGCGGGCGGGGAGGGGCGGGGCCGAGCGTTCGAGAGGAGCCGCCGCCACTGCCGCTGCTCCTGGTTACCGGAGCCCCAGATTCCCGGAGCGCGGCTGGATGGCAGCGGCCTTGGCGCCCGGCCCCGCTGCCAGCTAGGGGCGGCCCCGCACTCCACCCGTCCGGGAGCCCGTCGGACCCCGCCTCGTGCCGCCGCCGCCGGAGGTGAGGACGCGGCCGGGGCCGCGCGCGGGGATCCGGGCTCGGGTGCTCCGGGCCTGCGCCGCTTGGGCGCGCGCAACACGGGAAGGGAACGTGGGCTCCAGTCCCGCGTGGAGGGCGGGGGTGGGGATTGCGTGGTGCCGAGAGGCCTCGAGCCGCCCCCTTCGGTCCCCGCGTCTCCAGCGCGCGCAAGGCCGCCTCCCCTTGCGGTCCGGGTCTCCTTGACCACTCCGCCTCCCGCGATCCTTGCCTGGCATTGAGCCTGCCCATCCTCCACCGTCCAGCCCTCCTCTCCTTCCCAGCCCGGCGCCGCGTCCTCGCCCACCCCTGTCGCTAGAGTCCACGCCCGCGCGGTGCTCCCCTGCGCCCCACGGCCTCCAGCCGGTGCTGTCCCACAGGTGTCCGTGTCCGTGCCCGTCCGTGCCGCTGTCCGGGCTCCTGGACCCGGCGCCGACCATGCCCCGCGGCTGCCGCTGCCTGCGTCTCATGTGCCTCCTGTGCATCCTGGGGACGCCCGGTCAGCCGGCCCGAGGTGAGCGAGCCCCATCTCCGTTACGGTCCTGCACACCTCACCCGCGAGCACGTTGACCTCTGCCGGCCAGGACCGGCACTGCAGCTGCTCGGACCACCGGGAAGGAGAGACCTGGGAGTCTCTTTGGGAGTGGGACGATCTGTGTTGCCGGGTTTCCGAGCCTTGAATCCTCTCCCGAGTCCTGCGTCCTGGAGAGCAGACCCTGACCCAGGCTCACCGCCTCCACCTCTATGTCTTGCAGCTGATGACTGCAGCACCCACTGCGACCTGGCCCACGGCTGTTGCATGCCCGACGGCTCTTGCAGGTATCCGGACCCTCTGCTCCCCAACCACAGCCCTCCACACCAACACCCAAGTCACCCCCAGGACACAGAGTGGAGGGCCTTAGGACCCTACGTGAGCTTCACTGTTCTTCAGCAGCATGTAAAACAGGCAGGCTGCCCCCTCCGTGCCCCCACCGGGCCATTCCCCTCTGCCACTCTTGTCTGCTTCCCCACCTCCACGACTTCACCCTCCCAGGCTTGGTACAGGGATTCTGAACGTTGCTCTTCAGGTACTCAGAAGGACCTGGAGATCAGAGCCAGGAGGCAAGGGGAAGATGAGGGAAATCGAGGTGGGCCCTGGGAAGGAAAGGCTGCTGGGAGTTCTACAAAGAGGCTTTCTTGATGAGTCGAGCAACTGACTCAGTGGGGCGGCTGGACAGGTGCCGAAGCAGGAGATAAGTGCATAGTTTTAAGAAACATGAAGCTGGCAGTGGCACAGTGTTCTGGGAGGCTGAGGCAGGAGTATTGTAAGTGTAGCTCCAGCTGGGCAGTTTAGCAGTTGAGATGTTTGCCCTGGAATTCTCTAGGAAGACAGTCCTGATAACCTTTCAAGGTCTTTCTTTAAATGTTTGTGTTAAAAATGGCACTCGAGGTATTCACAGACATTATTTCTTCCTCACACAACCTGTGGAAAGTAACCTCAATTTCCAGGTGAGAAAACAGGTTCAGAGAGGTTAGACAAGGTACACAAGAAGGGCCCGAGTGCAGGTGCCTGATGGTCCGAGTGTGTGTGTGTCCTAAGCCCTACACAGCCCTACACCCACCTGGACAGGTCTGCCGTCCCATACAAAGCCTCTTGGTTTCTAGAAACTCTGTTGTGTGCCCCGCCCCTTCCCACCCAGCTGTGACCCTGTGTCTTCTTCCCATCAGGTGTGACCCCGGCTGGGAGGGGCTGCACTGTGAGCGCTGTGTGAGGATGCCTGGCTGCCAGCACGGTACCTGCCACCAGCCTTGGCAGTGCATCTGCCACAGTGGCTGGGCAGGCAAATTCTGTGATAAAGGTAGGGGGCAGGAGGTAAGCCGCTAGCTGGGGAGGCTGTGTGTCTTAGGGAACTGTCCTTCGACATTTACTAAGCAATGCTCGTGTCCTGTTTATATCCTCAAACATAGTCTTCCATCTTTTTCAGTTTTTCTTTTTTCTTTTTTTTTGGTACTGGGGGTCGAACTGATAACCTTGTGTTTACCAGGCAAACAGTTGAGCCACTGAGCTAAATCCCCAGCCCATCTTTTTCAATTTCTTAACTGTTGTGTGAATTAACCCCATGAGGGTGGAAAGGCAGCTGCTAGAAACTGTACACATTTTACAGTGAGAGATCCCAGATCACCCTGCAGGAGGGTGTGGCATAGAAGTTGCTGGGTTTTTTTTTTTTTTTTTTTTTTTTGTCTTTTTCCTTTTAATCCATACTGGGGACCAAACTCATGACTGTCTGCTTGCAAGGCAGGCTCTTATGCTGCTGAGCTAAATCCCCAGCCCCTTAGAAATTGCTGGAACAGAGCCTTGGGTCATCAGGAACCCAATGTGTCCACCACCCTAGAGCCTTCTTTGTCTGTCTCCCCTGCAGATGAGCACATCTGTACCTCACAGTCCCCCTGCCAGAATGGAGGCCAATGCGTGTATGACGGGGGTGGCGAGTACCACTGCGTGTGTCCACCTGGCTTCCACGGGCGGGAGTGCGAACGCAAGGCCGGACCCTGCGAGCAGGCAGGGTGAGTGCTGGACCCAGGGTGAGGTCCAGTCAGAAGTTGGGGACAGGATGGGGAGAGGTAGGAGTGAAGAGAGGGTGGAGGATTGAGGGTCACACTGCAGGCCACCCCATGATGAGAGTCCAGTGTTGCAGAGTGCCCCGGCTCAGGATTCTCAACTTTCCTGATGCTTTCTGAACCATTTTTCCAACAACAGCACTCAGTTAGAGCAGGAGGCAGAACGGGTCAGGTGTGACTGCTGTGGTCAGGGATTGGGAACAAGCTGGCCCACAGCCCTTAAAGAGTCCCCCACAGCAGCCTTGTGCAGATGACGAAATTTTTTGGCCCACAGGGCCGGACTTGCCCTGGTTTCCGCTTCAGGCCTGAGCGGTTTTGAGGATAAGAATAGCACACTTATCCTGAGCCCTGCCTGCCTTTGGGCCAGACCCTGTGCTCACTGCCGTGCACTTGGGAAGCTGGTACTACTTTGTTTGTTTGCTAACATTTATTCATTTGGCGGGGGAGTCCTGGGAATTGAACGCAGGAACTCAGACTTGCCAGGCAGGTGCTGCGCCACTGAGCTGAATCCTGGACTACTTTTATTCTTACAAAATAAGGTGTTTGAAATATCATGCCTATAATTTCAGCACTGTGGGAGGCAGAGGCAAGAGAACTGTGAGATCAAGCCTTATCTGGGCAGCTTAGTGACTTCAGAAAACCCTGTATTAAAAAATACACAAGGACTGGGGATGGATAGAGCCCAGTGTGAAGGCCTTGGGTTCAATCCACAGCATTGCAAAAAGTAAATAAAAATGAAATCAAATGAGATGTAGACTGAGTGACCCAAGGTGACACAGGTAGGAAGGGAGGCCAGGGCTTAGAATGCTGACCTGGGCCACCCCACAAGCATCAGAAGTATCTGTGTTCCTTTCCACTGCCACCATAGCTCCCCATGCCGGAACGGTGGGCAGTGCCAGGATGACCAGGGCTTTGCCCCCAACTTCACATGCCGCTGCCTGGCGGGCTTCGTGGGTGCTCACTGCGAGGTGAATGTAGATGACTGCCTGATGCGGCCGTGTGCCAACGGTGCCACCTGTGTGGATGGTATAAACCGCTTCTCCTGCCTCTGCCCTGAGGGGTTTGCTGGACGCTTCTGCACCATCAACCTGGATGACTGTGCCAGCCACCCATGCCAGAGAGGAGCCCGCTGCCGGGACCGTGTCCATGACTTTGATTGCCTCTGCCCCAGTGGCTATGGTGGCAAGACTTGTGAACTTGTCCTACCCGTCCCAGACCCTGCCACCACAGTGGGCACCCCCATAGGGCCCACCTCGGCAGCAGTGGTCCCAGCCACAGGGCCAGTGCCCCATAGTGCAGGCACAGGTCTGCTGCGCATCTCGGTGAAGGAGGTGGTACGGAGGCAGGAGGCTGGGCTGGGAGAGTCAAGCCTGGTGGCCCTGGTCGTGTTTGGAGCTCTCACTGCTGCCCTGGTCCTGGCCACTGTGCTGCTAACCCTGAGGGCCTGGCGCCGGGGCATCTGCCCCCCTGGACCTTGTTGCTACCCACTGCCCCACTACACCCCTGCCCGGCAGGACCAGGAGTGTCAGGTGAGCATGCTGCCAGCAGGGCTGCCCCTGTCACCAGACCTGCCCCCGGAGCCTGGCAAGACCACAGCGCTGTGATGGCGGTGGGGGCTCCGGCCCCCATCCTTGCCTCTTCCACACCTCAGACTGCAGTGATCCTTCCTCACCCCTCAGCACGGATATATGCATCAAGGGGGCTTCAGCCTCACGTCATAAATACTATTTTTTTAATACACAGAATGTTTTATCAAATAAAACTATAAAAATGCAAATGGGCTCTTGTGGCAGAAAAACCACCCACCTATAGGCTGAGGTGAGGGGCACTGGGACAGGCCTGGTCCAGGGGAAGCCTTGGAACTTGGCCCCCAAAGTAGTTCCCAAGATGACATCAGTGTTCCTGTCCCCTTTGGGAGGTGGGGAGAGGTAGAGCCTTGGAGGAGGATGTAAACAAGTGGCCAGCACTTCTGCATCAGCCCTGCTTCTCAGATGGAGGGGACAGTCCTAGGGACCGCTACCTGGGTTCAGGTTGTTCAGGAGGGGCAGTGGCTTCCTCCAGCCCACTCTGCAGCAGCTGCTGGAACATTGAGTGTCCCTGGTCATGCAGGGATGTGGGCGTGTCTAGCCCTATGACCCTTCCTGCATGGAGTACCAGCACCCGGTCAGAGTTCAGGATCGTGTTGAGTCTGCATAGGAGACAGTGGTCAGTGTGGGGGTTAGGGGATGGTGCCCTGTAGGAAGAAGCTGACTCACTGTCCCTCTCTCCCCCTCCAGACTTGCACAGAATATCCCCACAGGCTTTGGTCCCTGACAGGTGGGTCTACTGGGTCTCCTCAGACAATATGCTACCAAGAGTCAAGGCAGCGCCTGGAGAAAGGAGCCAAGATCTGAGCCTTGATCCTGCAGTCCCTAAAAGGATTGGGGGGAGGTTCAGAGTCCCCCCCAGCAGTTCTCAACCATTTTCTCTGGGTATCAGTTCACCTGTGGGCAATGGTCAGCACTGTCTTGTTGGCAAAGCGTTGGCAGATGGTTTGCTGCAGCAGCTGGTCTGTCTTCTGGTCTACACTCGCTGTGGCTTCATCAATGCAGAGAATCTGGAGCATGGTGGGGTGTGGAGAGTTGCAGCCCAAGTCACTAAGAGCGCTCCCTCTCCAGCTCTTCCCTGAGATGCTCTCCTTCCCAGCTCCCAGACACTTCCTGATTCCTTCCCAGCCCCTGCCAATGTCTTTGCCTCACCTTGGCATCTGTGAGGAGAGCCCTGGCCAGGCACAGCAGCTGCCTCTGTCCCAGGGACAAGCTCCGGCCCCTCTCGCCCACCTCACTGTCCAGGCCACCTGCAGGGCACAGCACCTTCACTGAGGGCCTCCCCCACTCCTCCCTGCTCACCATATCAGGAACAGCACTCACCAATGGAGACGACCACCTCACTCAGGTGGCACTGCTCCAGGACCTGCCACAGGGCCCTGTCCTCGTGCTGGCCCCAGGGGTCCAGGTTTTCCCGAACGGTCCCACTGAACAGGAAGGGCTCTTGGGGGATGATAGCTAGCTGGGATCTGGGGACAAGGACATGGGAGCTGGCTGGAGATGAGGCCACTTTCGAAGCACAGGTTTTAGTGATAGGACCTGCAGGAGAGCCACGGAGCCCCACCCAGTGCCTCGTTACACAGCTGGGGACGTTGAACTGAGGTGGGGCTCAGGGCAGGGCCAAAGGCACCAAAGGCCTGGACCCCATTCTTGGGAGCCCAAATCTCACTGAGGAGCCAAGACAGAGGAAGTAAACAGGCCACACAATGTGACACTGACTCCAGGGACAGCACAGGTGAGGGAGGGGACAACCAGGGTGGATGTATGAGGAAGGGACCACTCCTGAGGACCTGTAAGGTTGAGATATAAAGTGAAGCCACCACCACTTAGACGAGGTAAGGCCAGTGAACATTAAGTCCCAGGACTTAGGACCAAGCCTCCTGCCTCTTCCATGACAGGGAGCTGAGGAAACGACACTGGCCAACCTGAGGGCAGGGGATCTAGAGCCCCAGATGAGGCCACTTGTGGCCAGGGGCAACTGGCTCAAGTCTCAAGCTGTCCCACGTACCACCAGCTGAGCCCAAGGGCCAAAGGACCATGGCATGCATGGGTATAGTCTCTCAGAGCTGTGATTTAAAAGGGAAGACAAGGGCTGGGGATTTAGCTCAGCGGCATAAGCGCCTGCTTTGCAAGTGCGTGGTCGTGAGTTCAATCCCTGGTACCAATAAAAAAAAATTTTTAAAAAAAGGGAAGACAAAGCTGGAAATGTGGCCTGGGTCACAGTGAGCAAAACCAAGGCCACTGCTGACCCAGATTCTCACAGCTTCCTGCCCGTTTCATCCTCCACCTCTGCCCACATTGCCCTGGCTGTTCCAAGTTTACAGATGCCTTCTGGCCCTGCTCTAAGTGCCAGGGTTCCTGGTTGCCCCCCCCCCCCCCGCTCCAGCATCCTATCCCTGCCCCCAGACCTGAGCTCGGTCAGGTCCAGCTGACTAGTGTCCACTCCGTCTAGCAGTACCCGTCCTGCACTGGGCTCCACGAGCCGAAACAGCACCAGGAACAGGGACGACTTCCCAGAGGCTGTGCGGCCCACAATGCCCAGCTTCTCTCCAGGCTGTACACGGAAGGTCACCCCATCTAGGGCATGGGGCAGTCCTGGCCGGTACACGAGCACCACATCCTGGAACTCCACACTCCCCTGGGTCAGCCAGCTGGCCAGCTGGAAATAGAGGGAGATGGTGAGGCGAGGAGGCACAGTGCAGAGGGGTGGAAGGAGGGAGAATAACAGGAAGTGGGTGGGTAAGACAAAGGATGGGGGATGGATACAAGGGCACTGTGGGGAACATTGTGACCATGTGAACACGCTAAGGGGGCAGAGAAAGATGGTGAGGAGTCAAGGGAGGAGTGGGGAGAGACCAGGCTTTCGGAGTGGTAGGCTCTGGCCTGGGGTGGGGGATGGTGCACCTGCAGCCGGCGGCCCTGGGGCTCCTGGGCCAGGTCTCGGGAATACTCCTCCAGCCGCTCCACGCTCACCAGCATGACTTCTGTCTGCGTGAAGCTGCTCACTAGGCCTGAGAGCAGCCCCGTGAGGGACAGGGCATAGGACAGCACGAGCCCCACCAGTCCTGAGGAGATAAGCACAGTGCTAGGGAAAGGCGGCAGGCCGTAGAACCCTGGGTGCAGATTGGATGCTTATAGGAAGAGGGCGGAGAGGCAGGTTGTTGATGGGAGGCTGGTGGAAAGGATGTGGGACAGGATGGAAGAGGTCTGGGGTAGGAACAAAGGCCTGGGGTCAGGGCAAGGGGTCTGGGTGGCACCTGGGTTGGCGAGGCCCTGCTGGTGTTGCACCAGGGCAATGCCCGCAATGGCACTGACCACCACTGCCCCTATGAGCTGTAGCCGGATGTCCAGCCACTGAATTGTGGCACAGGAAGCAAACTGGCACCTCTGGTTCAGCTCCAGCAGGTGCTGGTTCTCTTCTTCGAACCTGGAGGAGCAGAGGGTAATGAGGCCACCTCACTGCTGCCGCAGTCCACCCTGACAGCTTCCCTGCAACCCACCTGCTTCCTGACAGCTGATCCACACACCTCAATTCAGCAATGCAGAGATCTCTGTGTATGCTTTTGTTTACAACCTGGGCTGCCTTTGAATTTTCTTTTCTTTTCTTTTTTTTTTGGTCTTTTTCATTTTTATCGGTACCAGGGATCGAACTCACAACTGCCTGCTTGCAAAGCAGGTGCTTATGCCGCTGAGCTAAATCCCCAGCCCCGCCTTTGAATTTTTAATCCTCTTGCCTCAGCCTCCTGAGTGCTGGGGTCATAGGTGTGTACCATCATGCCCAGGTGCTCTTTTGAAGAGGGGCCTGCGCTGCTACATGTTCTCTTCTGTTTTCATCCTTTCTCTAGGACCCTCACCCCCATCTTTTCCTCAGGAGTCCTGGGCTCCCCTTTTCCCAGGGGCCCTCTACCCTCCACCATGAGCTCTGCTTGGGATAAAGTCACTCTATGCACCTATAGGTGGCCCCAGCCGCCCGGAGCACAGGGAGGCCAGCCAACGTGTCAGCCAGGTGGGTGTAGAGCGGAGACAGTGTGAGGCTGCTCAGGCGCCGCAGCTCCCGCGAGGAGGCCCGGTAGTGGCGCTGCACTCGGTAGTACACGATGCTGAGTGGTGGCAGCAACAGCAGCAGCCAGGGCAGGCCGGAGCCCAGCACAGCCAGGAGGCCCAACAGGCCCGCCGCATTGGCCAACAGGATGTTGAGGAGGAAGGGCAGGCTGTCATCCACACACGCCACATCGGAGGAGAAGCGGTTCACCACCCGGCCTGTAGGCGTGGAGTCGAAGAAAGACACGGGTGCCTGCAGAGGGGGTGGTGGGCAAGACAGACTCTGGAGAGAAGGGGTTGACAGGGTGCCCTGGCCAGGGGTGAGGTGGGGGTTGGCCTGAGGTTAGGAAAAAAAAACAGTAAAGCATGGCCAGGGCTTGGGGGCAGAGGAGGCACCAGTGGAACATGAAGACCATACCAGGCAGGAAGGGTCCTCTGGACCCCTGGCCATCCCACCCCTTGGATGAGTGTGTCCACCTCCCTCCAAAGGCAGAGGGCTAAGATCTCTCTGGAAGCTAGGGGACTTCTGACTGGAGAGTGGCAGTTGGTAAAAAGTCAGGAGGAGTCCTGACTGCTCACGGCTAGACAGCAGGGTGAGGATTATTGGCCAAAGTCAAAGTTATAGTTAAGAGCTTGGGCTCTAGAGTCAGACAGCAACTTGAATTTCAGCTTTCTACCACTGGGAGAGGTAGGACCCCAGATGAGGGACACAGTCACCTCCAAAGGCCTTTGTTCCACTTTATCTGAAAAGTCGGGACAAACAGAATCACACCTCATTGGGCTGCTGGTATGATTAAAACACACCTGTACAGCAGTCAAGTGCTTCGCACATCTGCTTGGCACATAGTAGGTGCTCAATAATCGCTAGCTACTGAAGGTATGGTCTCAAGGACAGCCCCTTCCCTTCTCCACCTTCCCTGTCTCCCGCCTGTGCTTTTACTTTGGGAGTAGTCCTATCTTTAGGCAGGGGACAGAGCAAATGACTGTCAGTGCCTCAGTCTCCTTAGCAGTAAAACAAGGTAACGTGCCTACCTCATAGGGTTACTGTGAGGCCCTAACAAGGGATTTGTAGTAATAACAATTTCATAATTGCTAAGTGAGCACCTAACGTGTGCCATGCTGTATTCTACAACTTTCCACATGGTAATTTAATGCTTATAACAAGCATATGAGGTCAGCAGATCGGATATACATTTACAACATGGGTGGATTTTTAGAAACAGTGCCACACAAAAACTCTCAGAAACAATGCAAGCACTAATGTAGTATCATTTAAATAAATTAAAAATACAGGCACCCAAAACACAGGCATGTTGCAAAAATATACTGTTGAGCACACTTAGGATGGTTATTTATCAGGAAAGCAGGGGAAGTGGAAACAGGGTGTGGAGATAAGGGCCCTACATGATCTATAAGGTCACCACTTTGCACCGGAGGTCCAGAGGTGATGGAACCCCGAGGAAGGTTCTCTCTTTGCCCGTTTTATTAAGTGGGAAACCATTAGCAGAAATCACTGCATTCAAGGCCAGGCAGCTTTTTGCTCTGTGAGCTTCCAAGATGCCATATGCCGCACCTATCAGTGAGGGGCTACTTGATCCCGAGGACAGGGATGCTCTTGGCAGGGGACACAGGGCCAGGGCTGTCCCCCCACCCTCTCACCTGAAGGACCCGTCGGAGCAGGCGACAGTGCAGGGTGGCAGCTGCACGGAGGGTGCCTGCTGCAAAAAGCACTGCACGGAGAAGCGTGCAGAGAGAGTTGATGCCGGCGATGGTTGCGTACACGGTGAGGTAGAAAGAGACGTCGGAGGATCCATTGGGGGCCACCGTGGGCAGTGGGAACACTGGGGTGCTGGGTGGGGAGGAGGCTATGGGTAACCCAAAGTAGGGCCGCTCAGGGCTCCTTTCTTCGGCCCCCAGCCCCCACTCCACCTGGAGACCATGCTGAGACCCCTGGGCCTGTGCCCAGGCTGCTACTCACCAGAGACTCGCTGGGGAGAACAGGAGTAGTTTCGGGGAGAAGAGCCCCGAGGGTCCCTGGGTAGCAGAAGCTGGCACCTCCCCAGAGCCATTCCCTCCTGCCCTCAGCTGGGAGATCCAGTAGGACAGCCACCAGTCTGCGGCGTTTCTCGTGGCTGGATGGGATGGAGGGAGGATGTCGTGAGACATCTGTGCCCTCAACTCCTGTTCAACCCTCCTGCATCCCAGGCTCCCCGCGCACTGCCACCATCCTGCATGTTTCTGTCCAAGGCCCACTGCCCTTCCACCCTGGTGACAGCATGTGCTCCATGTAAAAGGGCCCAGCTGGGAGTCAGGTAGCTGGCCACAGGATGTGCTGGTCAGGCCCCAGGACTCTCAGAATTGGGGACAGCCCCTGTCCCAACTGTGGCCCATGCTAGGTGAGTCTCTGGAGCCAGTGCTGATCAGTACAAGGTGATGGTGATGGCCACCTGGACAGCATGCCCTTGGGGGACCGAGGAACTCCCACCTTGCATGAGGAGCAGAGACAAGAGGATGACGAGGGCCAGGACACAGCCCACGGCCCTCCAGTATGCCCGGTACACGTGCAAGGCCACGGCACCCTCCTTCTTGCTCTCCTCCTGCAGCAGGCGTCCACAGGTGCTCTGTTCCACTGCCGGGCCCTCACTTGTGTCCTCCAGACTCTGTTCCAGCGGGGCCTTGGCTGTGAGAGCCAGGGAGGTCATAGACAAATTAGGGTCTTGGAAGAGCAGGCAAGCTTTAAAACAAGACTCTCTCTGGTGTGGTGGTATAAAGCAAGCCCCCTTTTCCCACCTCTGGGCCACACCTGAGCCAGGCACTTGTCCATCCTCAGCCTGGGTTTTGGGGACAGCTTGCACCAATGGCAGAATCTCAGAGGGAGGCCCTGGAAGGTAGAAGGTGAGAGAGGAAGAGGCCACTTGGTCTACACCACACCTTCCTAAAGTGTGTGTGGTCCCAGCTCCCTGTCCCCTCCTCTCCCGCAGGGTCTTGCCCTGGATCCCCCCAACTGAGTAGAACTCATCATGTCCATCCTTCTAGAGTGTGACCAACAGAGTGGTCTATCCTCAAGGAGGATAGTCACAGACATGGTCAAAATCTGCCCACAGTCATCTCTTATTTTTGTAGAGCTTTTTAAATTCCTAACACTCAATTCCTGACATTCCTGTTGAGGCTTCATTCCTTTCTTTTCTCTGGTGAAATTGGAGATGACCATGTCCTCTGAGCCATAATCCTTTAGAGATGTTTGCTTTTTTGTTCTTCTTACAAAGAGACTGTTCTAACCTGATCATGTGTTCTTCCCAAGTCCAGAGGGATGAACATGATGGGTTCTGCTCAGACTAGTCTGAGGTCCTGGGCCTGTAAGTTCCCCAAAGCACCTGTTACAAGCCTCAAGTTCCACTTCTAAGCCAGTTTTTCGAAGGCAGGAGGGCAGGGGCAGCAGGCGCTGCACCTAAAACCCACTGTCCCTCTCTTTTCCCCCACCATCCCGGCTCCTTGACACCTTACCAGCCTGGACGAGGCGCCCGGCCTCCAGGAGCAGCACCACGTCAGCCTTCTCCAGATACTCGGTGCGGTGAGTACACAGCAACCGTGTGGTGTGGCTCAGGACTCCCAGGATGCACTTGTGCAGCAGGTGGCTGGCCACATCTGCATCCACAGCAGCCAGAGGGTCATCGAGGAGGTAGAGTTCCTTCTCCTGGGGGGAAAGGCAGGAGGGCAGGCCCTGGTCTCAGGCAGTCAGAGGGGACACAGAGAGCACTCCACAGCATGAGGGAAGGAAGTGAGACCTGGAGGTGGACTCCCCTCCAAACAGGAAAGGCGGGAGCACAGGCCAGGATTTGTAGGGACCCAGGGCCTTTAATCCTGCTTTGAATCTGCAAAGGTAGGGTGTGGTGACTGACACTTCATGGAGTTGAACAGGGAAGCAACTGGACGCAGGGAAAATGATCCCCATCCCTCCACTTGGCCAAGCTCACAAGATTCCAGACCGCCTCCCCCTCACTGCTTCTGCCACCTTTAACTTACCTGGTACACAGCTCGAGCGAGGGCAATCCTGGCCCGCTGTCCCCCACTGAGGGTCACACCCTTCTCCCCCACCTCAGTCTGGTCTCCAGCAGGCAGGACCTGGTGGAACAGCATCCAGGGGTCAGCAAGCTCCCTGAAACCTTCTGCCCATCTCTGTCCCTTCCCTTCACAGCAAAGAGATGATGCAAGTCAAGGGAGCCCAAGATAGGGTTTAACTTGGGGTAAGCAATGTGAGTCAGAGGAGAAAAGCCATGATTCCAATCTCACGCATAGATCGCTTACTATATGCTGGGTACTTTAGGAAATTATCTTGTTTGAACCTCACAAGAACCTTGTAAACTTGGTGTTATTCCCTCTCCACAAGTAAGATGAAGCTCAGGAAGATGACCTACCTTGACCACAGCTCCTAAGGGTCAGGAGATAAACCCAGACTATTTTTGGAGGTACTGAGCATCAAATCCAGAGGTTCTCTTATCACTGAGCTACATCCCAGCCCCCTCCCCTTCTATTCTCAGACAGTGTTGCTAAATTGTTCAGACTGAGCTCAAACTTGACATACTCCTGCCTCAGCCTTCTGAAGTACTGGGATTACAGGTGTGCATTACCACACACCTGGTCTAAACCCAGATTCTTAACCAGTCTGTTGCACTTACTACCCTGATTTTATAATGGACAAGGGTGACAAAGGGCCAGTATCATGTGAAAGTTTTCCCAGGCTTGCAGAGAAATGCATCCTGAGCTTTCCGATGTGTCCACTAAGTTAAGGGTCCCCATACCCAGAAGAAGAATCCATGATCCACTAGATAGGGAACGTCCTGAGGGCAAAACTGTCACTCAACCTTTTTTTCTAGTGCCCACAACAGCACCCAGGACCCAGGAGACATTTAGGGGAGAAGCGCTTGATGCAGAATCAGCCTGCCCCAGACTCAAAGTTAAAGGTCCTCCTTCCCAGGGAAGTTGTACACATATCTGCTAGGATACTGGTGACAGCCTTGGAGGGGATCCTAGGGCTTCATGGAGAAGTCCTGGAAAAGTCTACAATCTTTCTGTTGATCAATTTGGTGCCAGAAACTGTGGGTAGACAGGAACCCAAAAGACTTATGGATTTCCAAAGGAGACCTTAGCTTCCAAACCTTCTCAGTGCTCTCTGGGCTGCTGCATGGAACTGAGCCACTATCATCCTTTGAGGCCTCCAAGGATGGGGAAGCCAGCCCTGGACACTTTGGGAGGACCAGAGTCTGATGTCTGGTACTAGATCAATGATGCTCCAGGAGACACCGCCCCATCCTGGTCCGAGGTATCAGGGACACGTGGGGAGGAAAGACCAGGGCACTCACACTCAGGTCCTCATTGAGGGCGCAGGCCTCCAGCACCTCCCTGTACAACTGGGCATTGAACATCTTGCCGAAGAGGATGTTGTCTCGGATGGTGGCAAACTGGATCCAGGGCTCTTGGGTGGCCAGGCCGAAGCCCTTGGATAGCCCCCATACCGCTACCCGTCCACCCAGCCTGCAGAGCCAAGGAGTAGTGTGGGGACCAGCTCCTTGCTGAGTCCTCCATACCTAGCCCCTGAAGCCTCTTCAGCCCGCTGCCTTCTACCCAGGTCCCTCTTTGTGCAACAAGACTCTCCAGGCTGACAGCCCCAGAGGCTGAGGTTCATTCTGGACAGAGAGAGGATGAAACTGCTCCTTATTGCAGCCAAACAGCTCTGGGAGATGTGACAGCACCCTGCTGTCCCCCACTGAACACCAGTCTCTCTCAAACTCATGCTGTTCCCCAGCCGCCCCTGCAGCCCCACATTTTCAAAGAAGACCTTCACACCTTTCCTTTGCCCTCCATTACAGTGCTTCTGATGCTGGTCTGAGGCTGCAGACTCGCTGCTGTGACCACCTATCTCCCCCTGATGAGCTGGAAAGGCCCCCAAGAAAGCGGGTGTGTCTCACTTCTCTTGGTCCCCCAAAGGTGTCTGGCACACAGCAGGTGCTCAGCAAGTCGTTACCACAGGGAAGAGCCATGGACAAGGTGCACGGGGGAGGGGGGCTCATTACCTGTGCAGCTCCCCCGTGATAGCAGCCAGCAGTGAGCTCTTCCCGCAGCCCACCTTGCCCACGATGCCTACCAGTGTTCCCTGTGGGGAAGCCAAATGACAAAGATCTGTTGTTTGCAGGGGAAGGACCGAGTGTGCAGTGGTCTCCCTGAGTTGCCAACCCTCTCCTTCAGGCTTCTATCTAGGCTCCAGTTGGTCTGCAGGGAAGGAACCGCCACTCCACAGACCACTGTGCCCCAGCAGCCAGCTCTACGCTGGACTCAGAGAGGCCGATTGTTACATTCTCTGCTCAGGGCTGCTATTGGTTTTACTCAATGTGTGAAGGGCCTCTGAGGAAGCAGCTGGGCAGAGAGAATGAGAAGAAGCTGCCTAACAACCTCCACCCTGCACTTGAAGGTAGGCACCCTAGAATGAGGCAGGGGGGGCCTGCTCACAGGGCTAAGTCAACCCATGCCTGGATTTCCAATAATCCTGGGCAAAAAGCAGCACTCTACATAGATGCCACTCCTGTGATTCATAGTTTAAAATTTTCTGTTCTCAGGAGCTGATTGCAATGGCACATGCTTGTCATCACAACCTTCAGGAGGCTGAGGCAGGATTGCTCTAAGTTTTGAGGCCAGTCTGAACTACACAGAGAGACCCTTCATTTCTTGGTTGTAACTCATTCACAGTACCATCTCCCTGCTTGGAAAAAAAAAATCCAGGGATAATGGTACATGCGTATAATCCCAGCACTCAGGAGGCTGAGGCAGGAGGATCACCATGAGTTGAAGGCCAGTTTGGGCTACATAATCAGTTCAAGGTCTGCCTGGACTACACAGAGAGATCCTGTCTCAAAATTGCTGCCCCTGAAAAAGAAAAATTCCTCTGTGGAAACAGACTGGAGTCTCAGAGGCTCTAATTGTCTGTGAAGTCCCCATCCTGCCAGTCAGAAGTAACCCACTACAAAACAGGAACCATTGTATCCATGACCCTCCCTGAGAATTCAGGTTTGGGCACCAGAGGGAGCTTCTACTCCTGGTGGCTGCAGCCCCTAAGTGGGCAGGCTCTCTGCAGTGCCATCTCCTATGCAGTGGCACCTGGGTCCCTAGGGAGAAGGAGCAGGCAAAGACGGAGCTCAGTGGATAGAAGGCAGAGATCTGCAAGTTGAGGCCTGGTGTGGGGCTGTTTCTAGGACCTGGTTGTGTTGTTGCTGTGGAGTCTGCATTCATCTCTGTATTTCTATTACAAATTCTTGTTTGTTTAACGCAGCTCCAGTGGGTTTCTATGACTTTTTTTTTTTTAAAGCCTCAACACCTTAGTAAAATTCCTTTGAAAAATTCCAGCCTTGTCTTGTCTGAGCTAAGAAGAAAACAAAACTTTCAGTCCAGGCCAGAAACATGAGCCAAATGTGATAGAGGCGATTCAGCCACCACTGAAGAACTCTGGGTTGAGCTTCGGGGCAAAGGGTTGGGCTGAGGTCAGGAGAGAGTAAAAACACAAGGCTGGGGTGAGCAGGAGTCGCCTTCCTGCCAGGAATGTTACCTCTTTTGCTGTTGGTACAGCATGAGTCATAAGGTGTGACTGCTGCTTTCTACCATTTGCAAAATCTTCCTTGGAAGGGGAGGCTGGCCCTCGCCCTCAGGTCCCCAGCCTGGGGGGTGCTGGATAAGCCCTGGGGTCTGCTTGGGAACACAGCGTGATTCTGAGAGCTGTGCACCGAGGAAGGAGACTCAGAGATGAGGTTCCTCTCTTCTCAATTCGGAACCTACATGCCCAACCCTTCTACCCTCTCCTGCAGCCATTAGAGCAGCAGGCCCATCCAGCTGTGATGGGCTCAGCCCTGTGCATCTGTCCCCGAGTGCCCATCACTCCCTCACCTCCAACCAACCTTTTTCACTTTGAGGTGGCTGATGAAGGTCTCCTGACTGCTTCCAATGGGGTCCCAGGAAAACAGGGCTTCGTGCAGCTCCAGCACCGTAGATGGCTCTGAGGGGGGCTCTGGACAGAGAAGAAGCCACTCTCTCAGGGTTCTGCTTGGTCAGGAAGGTACACAGGAGGCCGCCATTGACTCACCTGCCCCTTAGCTACCTGACCAGAGTTGCTCTATCTGTCTGGCCTGCTCTGCTGGGAGGCTGCTGCCTCAGACTTCTGCCAGTAGCATCTATGCAGAATTCCTAGGTGGCTACAGCTCCTCCTAACCCCATGCCAGGTTCTGCCCCATGGCTTCCATACCTGGGCTGTAGTAGGCTTGAGGGTTGTAGTTTGGAAGGTCGAGGAAACGCTGAATCCGGTCCAAGGACACTTTGGCCTCCAAGAGACCATTGATGACCCAGGGGAAGTTGTTGAGGGGAAGAATGAGCATGCGCACCAGGGCCAAGGCCGTGAAAACCTGAGTGGGCGGAAGGGAGCAAGTATCACTGGGTCCCCAGGAGCTGCCCAAAGTCTGCTCTAGGGCGGCCTTGTGGTCAGTCTCTGGAGGGAAGATGAGGTAGTAACAGACCTAGCTGGGCAAGCTTGGGTTAGAAGTGGCAGAGGTGGCCACACTGAGTCCTTGAATTCTACATGTTCCTCCAGGGGTCCAAGTTGCTTTTGTGTGTGTGTGTGTGGTGCTAGGAGTCAAATCACAGACCTTCAACGTGCTATGTGCATGCTTTATAGTTGAGCCACACCTTAGCCCACCCACCTCCTCCCCTCCCCTGTTTGCATGGTGATAAGCATGCAGGCCTAGCTCATATTGGGACCTTTTCAGACTTTCTAGTGACAGCATTATATGTTTCTGGCCAGACCCAGCACTGGATCATGGACTTCCCCACACACAAGGCCATCAGAATGAGAGTAAAGGGACCCAACTCTAAGTCTATGTCTGCCTGACTAGAAGCTAGAATAGAAGGAAGTGTAGAGGAAGGAATTCCTTCCCAGGAGGTCCCAGAAAAGCCAGGCATGGTAGCATATGACTGTAATCTCAGCACTTGGGAAGCTGAGACAGGAGGATTGCTGGCAGTTCCAGGCCAGCCTGGGTTACATAGTGACTTTAAGGCCAACCTCAACTATGTAGTGAGGCTCTATCTCAAAAAACAAACAAACAAGACAAAAAAATCCAAGCACTTAAGACAGTGTCCCCTTGGCTGGGAAGGACATGGCAGCCAAGAATCCTCCTTCCTGCCAGGACCCAAGGCCTGAGCCATGTCTTTACCTCCCCTCCCTCCTTCCTACCCCTCCCTAATGCTGTTCTCACCTCCTAGGCCTCACCTTGGTGGCAGTGAGCTGGTGTCCCATGAGGACGTAAGTGATAAAGATGACAATGGAGATAACAACTGGCAGGGCAGCCCACAGGTACACACAGGCTGCATCCAAGTACTTGATCACTCGTAGCCGCCCCAGCTCTTGGGCCCGGCAGGCCTCTACCCGGGTTGCCATTGCCTGCTCCCACCCAAAGAACTTGATGACGCGAATGCCACTCAGCAGCTCCGTCATGAGCTGGAGGAAGGGATAAGACAGCAGCATGAAGACACTGCCTGGATGCTGGGCGGGATCCCCCAGAGTGCTAAGGGATCCCAGCAGTCCCTCACCTTAACTCGTGCATCCTTGTGCTGCAGCATCTCCTGGTTGCTGGCCATGATACGGGTGGCAATTACTTTGTTGACAGGAACCAGCAGTAGTGCCAAGACCAGACCACCCACAAAGGCCAAGCCTACCTGCTGGTACAACAGGTAGAGGGTGATGGCCAGCTGCAAGGGCAGTCCCCAGGCCTCATGGAAGCTGCCAGTGAAGTTTAGCAGCCGTTCTGAGTCAGTGCCTAGGAAATTAAGCACCTCCCCAGTAGGAGGGCGCCTGGGCCCCAGATGCAAAGCCTTGCGATACAATATGTTGAGCACTGCACCCCGGGCCTGAAGTGTCACCTTTCGTACCTCATAGCCATACTGATTCTGTAGCACAGCACCAAGCACGGCGCTGCCCGCTAGCCCCAGGGCATAGAGCAGGCCATGGCTCAGGGGCTCCTGCCCTTCCTCCAAGAAGCCCACCAGCAAGGACAGCAGCAGTGGCCCTGAGAATCCCAGCATGGTGCCCACCAGCTTTAGCAGGCCAAGGGCCAGGTAGCACCGCCCAAAGGCCCCATACAGGGCCCTCCATAGCTGGGTATCTTCCTGCCAGTGTGCCTGGAAGGCTCGGGCCACGTACGCTGGGTGCAACCTGTGGGGAAGGCGGCAAGTGTCCTCGGGCTGCCGCAGCTCTCCACAAGCCCCACGCGCCAGCAAGGGGCCCAGCCAGGCATAAGAAAGCCGTGATAGCCAACTCTCTCCATCCTCAGCCACCTCAGATTCTTGGCCCACAGAAGACAGGAAGGGTTCATGAGTCCAGGGTTCTGGTGATGGCCCCCCAGGGGCTGCCCAGCCCAGGCCATATGCCAAGACTGCAGCCAGCTGCAGAATGAGAAGACACAGACGGGCCAGGGGCCCTGGAAGCACTGGGGGCAGAAAGGTGCCTTGCTGGCAATGCCACAGCAGAGTCAGCACCAGGGCAGGGGCTGGCAGGAAGGCTGCTAGGGCCAAGGCCCAGGGCCCCCGTGAACGGCCATGAGGGGAATGTGACAATGCCCACAAGGCCAGGCTGTGGCTGGTCCAGGCCACTGCTGCCACACACCCTGCCAGCACCTCTAGTCCTATGGGACCTGGACCTGCTCCTGGTGGCAGAACAACTGGAAGGAGGTCTAGCAGTGGGAAAATGGAGAGCAGGAAGGCAGCAGCAAGTCGGAGGCGCCAGCCAGGACTAGCAGGCAGGACATAATCCGGACTCCTGGAAATATGGGAGAGGAGGACAGAGGAAGTTCATCACAGACATGGACCTCACCTCCAAGGACTCTTACCTAAAGCGAACGACCTCTCTTTCCTGCCTCGCACATGGTACCCATTTACCTTGAAATTCAGGGCCTTCCCTGGAAGCTTTCCCAAATAGACCCAGGCCACTTTCTAATTTCACACACTCTCTGATTCATTCTTTACCACAGGCATTAACAATTTTGAGTTGTTTGTACCTACCATGAAGACTCTAATTAGGGAAAAAAAAAAAAAAGGAGTTTGCGGCTAGCCTGAAAAATTTGTAAGATGCGGTCTCAAAACAAAAAGGAGCTGCAGCTCAAGAACAGAGCATTTAAATAGGGCACAGTGGAACACGCCTGTATGCCTCTAAGCCCAGTATTCCTGAGGCTGAGATGGGAAGACTGCTGTAAGTTTGAGGCCAGCCTGGGTTATGTGTTGACTTCAAAGCCAGTCTGGACTACCTAGGGAGACCCTATCTCAACAAATGAACAAACAAACAAACAAAATAGAGCACTTGCCTAGCATTCATGAGGGTCTGAGTTTAATCCCCATACTGCTAAGAATATTGAATTTGTTATGCCACTTGTTGGCAGGGCTGAGTTGCTTTATCATATCAAAATACTTTGGGGGACTTAGATTAAAACCAAAGTCAGCTTTTAAAGTGTGGAAACAAATAAAGAACACTGAACCCTTGCAGGTTGTATACTGAGCTGAAGTGTTTTTTGCTTTTTTTTTTGTTTTGTTTTGTTTTTTTTTGTCTTTTTCCTTTTTATTGGTACCGGGGATCAAACTCACGACTGTCTGCTTGCAAGGCAGGCGCTTATTGAGCTGAAGTTTTGAGTCCTTTTCCTCACTGGAGTAGCACTCTGTCCTAACTGTGATTCTGAATTCACTAATCTTCACCAACTAAGCACAAAAAGCCTGCTAGGTAAAGTGAGATAGCCACAATGTCTACTGATTATTCAAGGACTTTTCCTACCTTCCCATTACATTAAATTCTCAAAGGACTGTGTCAATTTTTTATTTTTGAGGCTGCCCTTAAACTCCGAGGCTTAAGCAATCCTCCTGCCTCAGCTCAAGCAGTTAAGACTACAGCCACAGCACAGTAGCACCTAATCCAGTTAAGACTGTGCTACTTCTATGAATAAAATAGATTTAAAAAAAAAAAAAAAAAAGGACTGTGCTACTTTTAGCAGCTCCTTCTCTGAGCTCAGTAAAGCTCTAGACCTTTGTTTCGTCCCAGGTAAGGAATCAGGATCCCTCCTAGACCAGGTAGGTCTGCTACACCTCCTACCCAAGGAAAGAGTTCATCATTCATTTCCCTAATGCTTCTTGGGTGGAGACATCTTTTCCTTCATCAACCAGGCACACCCACAGCAGACTGCTCTCTGCAGCTGGGTAGAGAATAAAAGCAGGTTTTGCACCGCCAATTTACAGCCCTAAACCCAAGAAATCAGAACCTTCAAGTTCTGATCTCTCTCTCCTCTACCTACTGTGTCCTCTCCAGAGAGTGTGCTTAACTTTACATGAACTTTTCTTAGCCTAGGAATACTGAGTTTCCACGAGGGAAGCGTTGATGAACAGGTCCTACAACTTCAACCCACGTCATCCGTATGGGCTAAAATGCTGTTCACTTAATTTTGCCTTAAATTCGTAACAGTTGTATCAGGCACCTGAAAGTCTACAATAGTAAAGATTTCTACCATGCATCAGGCCTTAAAAATACGTTAAGCATGGCACTCGCGATATGCTTAGATGCATTACTTCACTTAGCCCCTCTCAATGCTATGAGACTCGGAGAAGCTAAGTAACTCACCCAAGCACAGGCACCCTGCTGCTGAGTGGTAGCCCTCAGCTTTGATTTTGCTCCTGCCCTGCGTCAGATCTCGCGGGCAGCTGGGGGTGGAAGGGGGCTGAGAATATGGAGATGGGGGCTTCGGGCAGGGTCTGCAGATGCCAGCTCTACCCACCTCGGAGTGCCCCAGTGGCAGGCACTGAGCACGGCAAGGAACGCGTGGGGCAAGGCGCTGAGCACCAGCTGGGTGAAGCAGTGGCCGGCGGTGTCCCCCTCCCACAGCGGAAGCGGCCGCGCCGGGCTGGTGCCGCACAGCTCTGCCAGGACCCGCTCCATGAACGCCACACCTGAGCGGAAAGCGGGATGAAGAGAAGCGCGCCCCGGCCGGGTGCTCAGCCAGGCCCGCCCCGGCCACGCCCCAGGCCACGCCCCTACCGGCCCCTTGCTACTGCCCCGGCCTGGACCCGCCCCGGTCCGGACCCGCCCCAGCCTGGACCCGCCCCCGCCTCTCTTCCGCCCCTTCTTAGGCCGGGTTCACTCTCTCCATACCTCTGAGGGCGGAAAGGAAGTTTCGCTTTTTAGAGCTGGAGGATTTCAGTGGCTCGGTCACCGCACTGCCACCCTTTTCCTTTTTTGTGTCTCGCTGTGCCCAGGAATCCGGAACCTCAAACTTAAAGAAGGTGCTTGGCGCCGATTCTAAATTAAAGCTGAGCACTGAGGGAAGCAAAAGGACGTGCTCCCGATCAAGGTGGTGGGCCAGGGCTCGGAGGTCGCCCCCTAGGGGCGGGAAGACCTGTCAGGTACTGTTTGTCCCGCCCAGGCTCAGGATTCTGCTCATGCGCCGGGCTCTGAGCCTCCGATGCATTTGTACGCAGGCGCAGGGCTGCAGGCGCGATACTAAGTTCGTGGACGAAACCTTGTATTTGTACAATCCAGTTTTTACTTGCCCACGTGGAATACTTTTACTAGCTGACCCAGCACTACACTCACTAATGCATAAAGAAGTGGGAGACCAACCATGCCTCCTGTGGTGAGAAATAATGCCACTAACTTTGGTGATCTCTTGGGAAACTTTTCTAACCGTTTTGAATCTCGGTTTCTTTTTACAGTGGGGACAACAATAACAATTTTAAAGTGCAGAGAGTTGTATAAATAGTTGAAGTGTACTTGAGGAAGTGGTTTGCTAAAAAGTTGTTGAAAATGGAAAAGTATTGAGATTTTTGAACAAAACCCAATTGCAAAGGAAATACTGCAAAGAATCAATAGCTGGACTCTCATCTTACTAAAAAGCTTTTGGATGGGAAAATAAATTATCAACAGAGTGAAAAGACAACTCACAGAGTGGGAAAATTTTTAACCAGTTATTCACCAGACTAAGCACAAAGTGTCTAGAACTACAAAGAATTTTAAAAAAAAAATCACCCCCCCCAAATTTAAAGGCCCAATCCAAAAATGAGCATCTGAGATGAATATACACTTCTCAGATGAAGAAATACAAAAGAGCAAATATATGAAAAAATGTTCAACATCCCTGGTCATTCAAGAGATGCAAATTAAAATACCATTGAGATCCCATCTCACGCAGGAAAGAATGACTATTATCAAGAAATCAACCAATGACAAGTGCTACGGGGGATGAGGAGAAAAAGGAACCCTTCACTGTTGGTGGGAGTGTAGACTAGTGCAACCACTGTAGAAATTCCTCAAAAATTAGAGTTAGAAGCTCCATTTGACCCAGCTGTTCCCAGCTTTTGGGAATGGCTATCTTTCTTAAGTAATTAAAAGCATCATACCATAGCTATATATGTGCACCCATGTTTATAGCAGTACAGTTTGTAATAGCCAAATTTTGGAAACAGCCCAAATGTCCATCAGTCAAGGAATGGATAAAGAAAATGCATTTTGAAGTAGTACTCAACCATAAAAAAGAATAAACGAGAGATTTGTAACTAAATGAATGTGCCTTAAACCATACTGTTAAGTGAAGTAAATCGGACACATATGTTTAAGTATCACATTGTCTCTCTGGTATGAGAAACCGAAAGTGTAAATAATAACCAAAATATATAGAAGACACTGTGAAACAGAAAGAAATTGTTCAAAAGGAAAGCAGAACTAGAGAGGAGGAGGGGAAAAGTAAGGAAGGGAAAAGGAAAAAATCAGAAAAGGATAGAATGGAAATAAAGCTTTGTAAACAAGGAAGAAGAGTTGAAGGGAAGGGAGGGACTTGGGGAAAAAAAGGAATTAACATGTGTCATGTGCAGGTACAAATTGATGAATGTGATCATTATGTATATAAATGGTACCAGGGGCTGGGGATTTAACTAGTGGCATAAGGTCATGAGTTCAATCCCCAGCACCAAAAAAAAAAAAAAAAAAAAAAAAAATTTTTTTTGTACCAATAAACTTAAAAAGAATCAACCATGAGTTACTAAAAAAAAAAAAAAAGTAATGGGAAAACATAATCTTTATATAGTTAAGTAGACAATGTGAGTTTGAATGCTGACCCCACCAATTTTTAGCTCTGCAGTGCTAGGCAAGTTACTTAAGCATCTTAGTTTTATTATGTGTCTACCAGGCATGTATTGCTATGTTCACACATCACCTGTATATCACCTGAAGAAAAGAAACTGAACAGATAAGTAAGGTTATCCCATCTAATCTCATTGAGAAGCCTGGTATTCTTCAGTGCCAGGAATTAATGTTCCTACCTTGAAAAATGAAGAAAGTAGATTTGTATTATAAATCTACAATCAATTATCATCAGTTATCTTTGATGATTAATGAGTTATCTTGGCAATAGTGACTAGTAGTGCTAACTCACTAAGAATGACAACACATATCAGTTGAAACCTAGTCTGAATCTGAGCAAGCCACTATACCTAATTGTCTACTTGCAAGAAAAACAGGAGACTACAAGGATACAATATTATAGGTGTTCTACCAATAGATTATAAAAGCTGTAGAAGAGTCAAACATGGTAGTGCATGCTTGTAATCCCAAGGGGAGTTCAATGCCAGCCTGGACTACATAGCAAGACCCTGTCTCAAAAACAAAACAAAACAAACAAACAACCCCCCCCCCCGAAAACAAGGATATGTATGGAAGAATAATATCCACTCTTCACTGAAGGAACAGAGAAAAACTATTCTGTATGGAACCACTTCAAAGAACCTCTTTTGATGTTGTCCTGAATTGAGAACATTTAGAAAATATTGTATCAGTCAGGTTTTACTAGAGAAACAAATACAACACAAGGTATACAAATGCATAAGAGGGTGTCTGCATGCTGGAGGCTGAAGGGAGCTCTCTGCAGTGTCCCATGCAAGTCCCTACCAGGAGGCCAACTGGTCTTCAATGGAACACTGAAGAATCTGTGCCAGAAGGCTAGAGAGTCTACGCTGGAAGGCTAAAGAATCCCAGGCAAAAGCTGAACAGTCTGCACCAAAGGGAGACAGTGTCCGAGCTGAAGTGAAGACCAGAGCTCCTCCAAAGAACAAGCAACAGTCCTTCCTCGTTTCTCTTTTGCTGTAGCAGGTTACACATCCTGACATGGGGAGTCTTTTACACTCACACCATCAAGGTGCATTCTTCTTGCACAAGCTGAGGATGTTTACAAAGTAAGGTCCCTAGTCCCCTGCTGAATTACTTAAACTTCTAAACTTCTCAAGTTGACACATTGAAAAAGATCCTAGTATGGTAAAGCATGCTTCCACACCCCAGGATGCAGAGCTGCTCCGTTACTTAGTTAAACTTCTGGACTTTGCAAATTGACACAATGTAACAACCATTACAAATATCAACCTTGTTTGATCCCTTTACATTTGTGCAAGTGGAGACAGTGTCTATCCATAATTACCATCAATTTACTTTTCTCTATTCATATAAATGTATCCTTGGAAGTGTAATCTGAATAATGGAGGACATGTGAGACTCTTGTCCTAGGAAAATTACTCTCAAAATATACACATAGTGCCTATTACTTTTCCTAATGATCATTTATTTGATTTAGTATCTTAATAATGGTGTGCTAATCAGCATTTCTATATTCTTAAACAATGTGAATACTGTAATTATAAAATACTGTCTCCTCAGATCAGAACAGAATGATTGGTAAAATGGGAAATAAAAAATCCTAACTGCAGACTTTTTAATTTTCATAAGCAGATTGAGTCTGGTCTCATTTAAATTAATAGCACAAAATGGAAATAACTGTGAAAGAAGCTCCCTCCGGAGGCGAGAAAGCATAGTCTTACATTTATAATAGCAGTTTGCTTACAAAATCACACAATTCCATGAAGATAGAGCTTATTTTCTATAACCAATGAAATCTCTTGGGTCCTGCTGATACAACACTTGATTGGTGACTTCAGCTTGTTAATCGGTAGACTTTCTACCTCCTTTGATTTAAACACTGTTCTTGGCAAGCCAACTTTTTAAAAATTTTATTCTTTCTTTCTTTTTTGGGGGGACCAGGGATTGAATTCACGACCTTGTGTTTGCCAAGCGGGTACTTACACCGCTGAGTTAAACCTCTGGTGGCAAGCCAATTCTTTTTTTTTTTTTTTTTTTTTTTTGCATTTAAAAAAAAATTTTATTTTGAAAGTATAAAACAGAACAAGACAGAATAAAGCCAACTAAGATCGGACAGTGAAACTGGTACAGAACTTCACAGCAGGTTACTGGCATAACCATAATAGGTATCATAGTATATTTTGTTATCTTTATAATAGTTGTTCGTTCAATCACATATATCAAAATGAGATGAAATAGAACACTATAGAGCTTATCAACAGAATATTGAATAGAGCAGTACCATTAATTAGAAAAGAGCAAAACAGTAATAAAAATATTTGCCTTCAAAGAGATGGTAGAAGAAAGTTCCCCTTATTTGCTATGGTCAACCTCCCAGGAGACGCTCAGATTTCTGGTTCTCATTTGCTAATGGGTGGGGGGGGGTGGGGGGGTGGGGGAGAGGGTGGGGGGTGGGGAGAGGGAAGTGGGATAGGGGAAGTGGGATATTTGACTCTAGGCCTTGCATCAGTAGGTTCACTATTGCTTAGCAGGGAGGCAGGCTGGTCGTTTGGTTTCACAGTGTCCTAAGTTCCAAAATGGTGCGGATCTCAGGAGCTGCTGCTGGTTCTCCCCCTGGAAGGGCAGCAGTCTGCCACACCGCCACCACTTACCAGGGAGGGAAGGTGCTTGCTTGGGCAAGCCAATTCTTAGAAATCTATTCTCTAGATTCTAGACGGGCTCCTTTGCACCTTGCTTCTCGGAGTGTGGAAAGGTGTGCAACCTCCTGGAGAGTGTGAGATTCTTAGACTGCTCTTTTAGGGTTGCTGGCCCCTCTGGTTTTGCAAGTAATTTTCTTTTTCTTATCACTCACTGGGCATCTTACCGGCTTCACATGGGTATGGCAGATCCCTCTACAGCTCATCCATGGCCCGTATAAATTTCTGGTTCCAGTTAACATATTTCTGTGTGACATTAGATAGAGTCTTAGGAAACCTCACAGGCCATCTGGTGCCCTCTTCCTGTATGACACAGAACCACGCTGACATTTCCATGCATGGTCAAGGAGGGAGGAAAACAGGTGTAAGTCCCTGAACCCTTGAATCTTCAAGTTCAAGTTCTTTGCTTTACCTCTGATTTCCCCTTTATTCCCTGATTCAAAATATTTTTCATTTCTTCCAGAGCTGTAGAGAAAAAGATCCATGTTAGAAAATTTTGTTTCTCAATTTATTATTTATAAAATTTATAAATTGGTAGTTTTGGGTTTCCTGGGTTTTCATCCCCAAA